ACAAAAATTTGAAAATAGAACCTATCACTGATTAATAGTAAAGGAGTGTTACTCTTACACAATAATGCAAAATCACATATTTCTAAAGTTACTCAGGAAAAGATTACGGCACTAAATACAAAAGTTTTACCTCATCCTCCTTACTCTCCTGACCTTGCTCCATCTGACTATCATCATTTTAGATCATTGCAATATTTTTTTAATAGCAAAAATTTTAAACAAAATTTTATAACCAACAATTTGCTAAATAGGTGGATTATGTAACTGGAAATCGGGGAATATTATCTTGATTAGGTATTATCAATTAAGACCAAAGATGTGTTTATGACAAACTACATATGGCAGCATGGCCTCTGATTGGGAGATTAGAGGTTTTTAGGAGTGTGGAACCACCTCTTAATTGCTGTTGTTCCAAAGGTCCACCCTGACACAAGGTGGTAGCAATAGTTAGGATCCCAGCTAGAATTACTGAATCCCAAAACAAAAACAGGAAAATATAAAAATACATATTTATAATAAAATTACTAAATATATTTTTTATATAAAAATTACTAACAATATCTATTTATAGTAGAATTACCAACAATCCATTTTATCTGTTGAAGATGTACAATTATGTTCAAAATATTTAGATATTGGCATTAAATGACCCATAGAAGTGTTGATATGCCACTAAACAAAATTAACCAACCAACCAACCAAAGATGTATTAACTTTTTTCCATCTTTAAATGTCACAGGAGATTATCTTCAAAATATATATATATATATATATATATATATATATATATATAAATTGATTTTGTAATCACTATAAAACAATTTTAAAAGATTATTTTTATTAATTTTTGCAGATAGTGCAATAAAAACTGCAACATTTTACAAAGCTTTAGTCTAATGCAGAACTCTGAATCACAATTTACTCCATGATAAGCACATTGATTACATTGGCAATGGTCTAAAGTCCTATTGTTATCTTGCATTCTGTTCAAAGATTTTCATATTGCTGTCACACTCCCAAAATGTAAACATTCCATCTGTTTGTTTTTTTTTAAATACTTCTATTGGGTGGACTCAACAGAAACACATTTTATTGGATTTCTGCCTTCTGAATATAGATGAATTTTTTTTATTTTTTATTTAAAGCCAGAAAAATTTAACGTTTGAATAATGAAAATACTTCATTTGAGAATCTTGAAATTTCACTTTTTATGGAAATTCCTGCCCGAATGACAAAAGATTAAGCAGGTAAACAACTTCTAAGATTTGATGCCCACACATTAGCTGTATTTCGAGTTAACAGATTCAGTGAAAACTCCTTCAAAGCCAACAAATTGCCTATCAAAATTATAGGGAAAGAGGCATTGTACTTATTTATTTAAAACTTTTCTTATTAGCTTTTTATCTGTTATTGATATTTATAAATGTTAAAGATAGCCAGTTTTGTTTATAATAAGGTCAATAACAACCGAAGATGAAAACAATACTTTAAAAGGGTCAAAATGGATTGAGAAATCCTCATCCCAAAAATTAAAGAAAATCAGGGAAGGAGCAACCTTTTATTTTTTTATTGCAGCTATTTTAAAATGTCCATGTTTTTCTTTTCTGAAAGTACCCTGCCTTTAAAATAGATGCTTTAGACTATATGATAGCTAGTAAGAATGAAAAGCATTTGACATTCAATGTGTGGCAAGAAATAGCCGAGAAGCGTCTGGTGGCTGCTGAAGATTAAACAATAGTTTGTTTTGATTGAGCAGATGAAAACAAAAAGGACACTCATAGAATTAGCTTCTCAGCTCTCATAGTGTAAAAACTTGTGCACACTTCAATTTAAATTTGTTACAGGACTGTTTGGCAGTCGGTGTTTTAATGACTGTCAGTGTATTAAAGAGCCTGCTGTAATTATTCTGTTTCAACACAGTCTTTGATCTGTAATGGCCCAACTTGTACGGGGTTCACCCTAAGGGATACCAAAGTAGGCTTTGAACTCAGTGTAACACCAGAATATCAGTGGAGCAAGGTGCATGAAAGAGTTGACCTAGAAGGGGATCTCATAGCCAACAGATGCATAGTCATGCTTCACAAGATGTCAATGGCTTTCCCCACCACCAAATATATAAACTAGCAGTCAACTCAGCTGAGCTTAGAATGTGAATGTATAACAACCTGAGAGGAAGTGATATAAGCACACTACTTGAGGGGGGAAAAAAGGAGAGTCTCTCACACCCTAGAGAGAAGCGATCAAGGTTTGATGAAAGCCTCTAAAGAAACGGACCCTCATGCCGATATTATGTGATAAAGTCTGGAGGAAAATAAAAGATTTATTTTTGGTTTCTTATAAATTTTAATGATTACAACAAAAAAATATTCTATCAGATGGACCGACACGAACAGTGGCCGAGATGGACAGACACGAACAGTATGACACCTCTTCTCCCTCATAGCAGGATAGACCAGGTTCTATAGCCTTGTATGGCAACTGGTCTACCACAGAAAGAATTTGCAACCTACTGCGGGAAAAAAATCTGTCGTCAGTCATGTATTGAAAGAGACATGATCGCCTAAACGTGTATCGCACATGACGGACTATTAATCTTTGCAGCAATAATATTTACACTTTTTTTCATGGATTCTTTTGGATCAGTTCCCTTATTTTCTACATAATATTTTGGTGTTCTTAGCATTATCCTGCTGAACCATAGTGCAAATTTGAAGGATACAGTTCGATTTAGTATAATTGTGAAACCAAATTCAGTTTTTGGGGATGTACAAAAATTAAAATTTGCATGTCTGGCAGGCATGAAATAAACAAGTGAAATAAATTGGCTTTTGTACTTAGCAAGCAACTACAAGAAAAAGAAGCATGGCCATGATTAAAAAAAAAAAAAAAAAATGAATATATAGATTGAAAATTGGAAAAAATAACAATTCCCTTTTCCAGAAGGACATTTCATAAAAAAAAAGCATCAATTCTATTTAGTAGCTATCAATTTATCTCAAGAAGTCTTTTGGTGGCAAGACTGGAGTAACTGCTCCAGGATGCAAGCTTGGGTGATGGTATATGGAGGTTGTTAATTGCCTAGACTATACATCTCTCTCCTCAGTCGTACCGACAAGATCCAAAGGAATACAGTGCATTGCATTTGGGAACGTGCTTAGCTGCAGGAGTTGCCAGAATATTGTCAATGTTGACAGCCACCCACCTTTGGATCTTCTGCTTTCATAGTCTTTTCCATATTTGGATGGATATGACTGCATGGTAGAGGTGATTTAAAATCAGGGTTTTCCTTCCCCTAGATAGACCACCTTCCTGGGCTGTCAATCTCTGTCTATCAGAACAAGTCTACAGTCATGAAAAAAATAATGGTAACAGTGAAAAGACATCTAAGAGACTTTTGAAAAATTTAATTCTGGTTGAAAACTCTAGAGAGAAAGTGCGAATTTGTAAACAATGACTACTACTGCTAATACTGCAAAGCTCTCCCATGAATTGAGCTCTCTCAGTCATTGGCACTTTTTATTCAAAGAATAAGTACATAAAAATCTGCCTTCCTTTCTACTGGGTGCTGATAGCACAGGGGTAAAATCTTTGACTGTCAGTCAGGTTTCGATCCCGGCTTGAGGTAATTGGATATCTAGCTACACTGATGAGCTGTAATACTGTGAAACTGTCTGTGGCTGACACACACATACATATATATATATATATATATATATATATATATATATATATATGTGTGTGTGTGTGTGTTTGCACTATTTATATTATTCAGACTACTGTCCCCATCTTCATCGCCATCTTTTTTACACCATTTTGGTCGTTGTACGCTGCAGCCTTCTTCAGGTGGTTGGAATGTCGAACTGAACCCTTTATTTCCTCAAGAACACATGGCACAGTGGATAAAGGCATTGGTTAGATCTGGTAACAGAACCCAAACCAGTGTGAGTTTAATACCCGGTTAAGGCAGTGGAGAACTTGGAGAGGGAAATTAACAGGAGATAATTGATAACTGACATCCATTAAATATGGCACGTGGAACTAGAACACTCTACCCCAGTGAGTGAAATAAAGGGTTCAGTTCGACATTCCAACCACCTGAAGAAGACCGGAGGTTACAATGACTGAAGCATTGTAATAAATATGGCGACAAAGATGAGGACAATCGTCTGAATAATGTAAATAGTATACATAATACCTCATCTCAGAAATATAGACATATATATTGTTTGCTTAGTATCATTTTGCCCTGTTCTTTTTCTTTCTTTTGTCGTTGTTTATTGGAAATTTTGTTTATTGTACATTTTTGTCAAATACACTTAACGATGGCCAATTACTCTACAGAATTTTCAAGTATAACTGATATTATTTTATATAAACTGTTATTAGTAAATATAAATAAAAATGAAAAATGCTTTCACCACAAATGCCTGATTGGAGCAGAAAATGGATGCAAAAGGACAATTTATGTGTAACAATAGTGATTAAAAAAAAACAAAAAAAAAATGGCGAAAATTTGGTATACATAAAATGATGATCAGAAAAAAAAAAAAAAATATGAAACTGAAATAAAAAGAAAGTGTAAATTAGCATTGGTTTTTATAGTTAGCAAGCAACATTTGTTTTTTTTATCATTTCGCTCCAAGCAAGGCAACAAAGCCACTAAGATGCTGGGATTACTGAGTGTTAAAGAATATTAAAAAAAGAAAACATTAAGGAGCAAAAACAATAAAAGTACAGAAATTAAGATTGTTGTTTGGTTGGTTCATTTTTTACAATTTATCAACCCTTTGTAGGTTATTTAATGCCAAAAAATATTTTTAGATTCTAAGAATTTTTTTTTTTAAGATAATTTAGTGATACAAATCTTCCTAATTAATTAATCCATAGCCTGAAGGGAGAAGAGTTGGATTCATACTGTTCACAAGGGAGAATTGAAACACGGCTCTCCAATCAAAAATTCTGAGCCATTATCCATTACGCCACCTGCATTTACAAACTTATAGCACATAATATTCCTTAGTGGTCACCCATCTAGGTACTGACCAAGCTCAACATTGCTTAACTTTGGTGATCATATGGGAACTGGTGTTTCAATGTGAGGTAGCCATAAGCCCAGAAATTAAGACAGAAGATTATGATTAACATTGAATTTAAATTTTTGAAGGTCAAATTTAAATCTAAAACAAGAAGTTGAAAGAGTTCCACAAGCGAAAAGTTCATGAAAATTAACTATTAGCAAAGAACTTATGCTTCCATCTAGCCATTGACGAGATTTTCCTACCAGTTTAGTACTGTGCTTAAATTCATAAAGTCTAGGTACCATAGAGGAAAGTTCATCAGAACAATTAACATGAAAGTATTGATAAAAAAGGCACAGGGAAGCTACATTACGGTTGTGGGGATGTGACTGATGCCAGGTCAGGACCAATAACATTGCAGATTATTCTTTAGATTTTATCAAGAATCTCTAAATATATAGCAGGAGCACGAGACCAGATGTGGCAACAATATTCAAAGCATAGATGAATGGTAGACTTATAAATAGGTAAGATAAGATTCTGGCAAGAAAAATTGTCTAGCACAACATAGTGAACTAAATTTCTTAACACCCAGACCTAGCAATTATTTCAATATAATCTTTTTACTTCATGTAAGAAAAAGAAACCTTGTCATTATAAGGAAATAGAATATATGGATTGAGGATTAGAATCAAAAACATTCCTCTTTCCAAAGAGAGATTTCAAGCAAAAGCATCAAGTTTATTTACAGCCATGAAAAATAATGGTAATCAGACCAACAATAAAGAGACATTTAATGCAAGTGTTGGCTGGTTTGAATGATTTAAAAATAGAATTCAGGTGCATAATACAGAAATTTGCAAACAGTTAGCCCGTGCTGATAAATTAGCAGCAAAGAATCTTGCTTTTTTTTTTTTTTAAAAAAAAAATAAATAAATAAATAAAAATATAAAAATAAAAAAGGCAATGATTGAAAGAAAGGAAGTGTCATTTGAACAATAATATTTAACCGGGGATGAAACTGGATAATTTGCAGAAAGAATGTCTTTAAGAATTTGTATTTTTAAAAAAGAAAAAAAAAAAAAACTAAAACTTTCAATATTAATGTAATGTTGATAAGGATCAAGGAAATAGTGGGGAAGATTTCAAAGTAAAAACCGTGTTCCCCTTTTAAGGTCAAATATAAGATAATTATAGCCAATGGCCCAAATTGCTATATTTAAAGCTGACTATCTAAAAAGAACATTTTATTTATTTATTTATTTTTTTTACTATTGTTTAGCCAATACAAGGCCCAAGAGCCACTCATGGTAGAGGGTTACTGAATGAGGTTGTAAAGGCATATAGTTGATGTTGCAATCTAATCTTATAGTAATAAAAAAATTGAACAATGTTATTTTTAGAAGGTACATGTTCTCTTTTTTTGGCTTGTTTAAATCGTGTTCACCCCCTGCAAGGCAGTAAAGCCACTGAGCCACAAGAGGTTACTGGGCGTGGAAGACTTAGAAACATTGTTAAGGAGCAAGAACAAATGAAGAGTAATCTGGAGGACTGTAGATAGCAATTGACATGGCATTTAAATTTTTGCAGATTAAAGTTGGCTGGAAAGCATGGAAGTGGAAGAGAGTTCCACAAATGAGAAGTGCGAGGAAAGTAGTTGTTAGCATAGAATTTATGGCTACATCGAGCGAAATCAACTGTAAAATGGTGAGACTTTGTTGTCTGCCCGGTACTGCTCTTAAATTCAATGAGCCTAAGCACCACAGCGAAGAGCTCATCTGAACCATTACCATGAAAGTATTTATAGAAAAGGCAAAGAGAGGTAACTTTTTGGCAGTGACTGAGGCCGAGCCATCCATAGTGTGTACAGTATAACAGTTACCAGTAGAATAAGTCATGTCAGCAAACGGAGTTCAAATTCAAGCCAACTTTTTAATTCACACCAATGCTACTGAAAAGAGGATGAATACATTAGTTAAATAGCAGGGTAGACTGGGCTCTCTTGCCTTAAATGGTAGTCACTCAAAATGGAAAGAAAACTGCTTTGAAACATAAAAAGAGCATTCATGTTTTCAATATATGGTTTGACTATTCACTAAAACTGGTCCTCCAGTAGCTCCCTTTACCTCCACCTGTTGACCATCCTGGGTAAGACAAACTACATCTGCATCCTGGGTAAGATGATAAACTACGTCCAGCAGCAAGGTCTCTGATCAGGAGGTTTTGAGGAGCATGGAACCACCTCTTAATTGCTGGTGTTCCCAGGTCCACCCTGAACCAGGTTGCTAGCACCTGTTAGGGTACCAACTATAGGCAAATAGTTAACTATTATCAGCAATACTTTTTGAAAAGGTTATTACCAGCAATACAATTTTGAAGGAAAAATATTACCAGAAACAGATTTTTGACAAAACAAAATATTACCAGCAATTAAGAATTTTGTCGGCATTGAGTAGCCCATTGGGGTTGGTGTGCTGTAAAACAAAATAAACCAAACCAAACCCCCACCTGTTGAATTTGAGAAGGGATGTCAAAAAGGTGGGTCAAGACCTGTACAGTTCACCTAAAAAAATCCGTTCCTGCATATGCTGTTCCTTTTTGAAAGGAGCCATTATCATCCCTTGGAATGGTGGAAATTGATTAATTTTCTATGGCTTATCAACCCTTTGGAATGGAGGAGTTATATAGACAATGAGCAAATCTGAAGAAACAGCTAGATGAGTTTGAAGCAAGAATGCTCAGGATGGCGCTTAATGTTCCCTAGAGAAGCCACACATCAAATGCTGATCTATATGGTGAGTGAGCAAAAGTTAAGGTTAAAAGGTGCAGCAAAGAAAAAATGTGTCTAGCAAGACACTGTATCAGGAATGATGACAAAGTTGCCAGCAAATTAATATTCTGACAGCCAAGCAAAGTAAGAACTAGAAGAGGAAGAAGACACGCCACTCAAAAGCTAAAGGCCATCATAATAGACCATGCTGAATGCAAGAAGCATTTGGATGTTATCGGTCATCCCAAGAACGACAGTATAGTTTTACTCTAGTGAAATGGATAGGAATGATGAGATGTTAAGGGTTAAATGTAATTGGAAGAACAGCCCAACAAACAGAATTGACAAAGTTTGCAATAAACAATAAGAAGAAAAAGAAAAGAACACGGCAAAAAATAATATAAGGCAAGCAAACAATATATGCAAGGCAAATTAACAGTGAAAAGGCAAAGCAACAGTGATAAGGTAAAAATTTTACAAACTAAGAATTGGGGTTGATACAAAAGTGAATTCAGATTTCTGAATTCAAGACAAGACAGATCAGGACTGAGTCAGATGAGACCAAGAAGTGGCCTATGTTATTGACTAGGAAGAAATCCCAGCATGTGTGTGTGGTTTTGTCTATAAATTGGGGTGTTGAAAGTATTTTGCTATCATTCCAGTATAGAGTGGAACCAACTGGCCCCATAAAAAAAAAAAAAAAAAAAAAAATAATATTTTTTTTTTACTATTGTTTAGCCAATACAAGGCCCAAGAGCCACTCATGGTAGAGGGTTACTGAATGAGGTTGTAAAGGCATATAGTCGATGTTGCAATCTAATCTGTTCAATTTTTTTATTACTATGAACATTATTTTTAGTAGGTACATGTTCTCTTGGCGTGTTTAAATCGTGTTCACCCCCTGCAAGGCAGTAAAGCCACAGAGTCACAAGAGGTTACTGGGCGTGGAAGACTTAGAAACATTGTTAAGGAGCAAGAACAAATGAAGAGTAATCTGGAGGACTGTAGATAGCAATTGACATGGCATTTAAATTTTTGCAGATTAAAGTTGGCTGGAAAGCATGGAAGTGGAAGAGAGTTCCACAAATGAGAAGTGCGAGGAAAGTAACTGTTAGCATAGAATTTATGGCTACATCGAGCCAACACAGCTGTAAAATGGCGAGACTTTGTTGTCTGCCCGGTACTGCTCTTAAATTCAATGAGCCTAATTTCCTGAATTCAAGACAAGACAGATCAGGACTGAGTCAGATGAGACCAAGAAGTGGCCTATCTTATTGACTAGGAAGAAATCCCAGCATGTGTGTGTGGTTTTGTCTATAAATTGGGGTGTTGAAAATATTTTGCTATCATTCCAGTACAGAGTGGAACCAACTGGCCCCCATAAAAAAAAAAAAAAAAAAAAAAAAACACTTTAATGCCTTCTGATAAGCTTTCCTCTTTAAAATTATCTCAACTTCAGAAATTTAAGTACATTCCAAGATTGGCAACTAGGTGTAATAATTATATAATTTCTATCTAATAAATTGATAGTTGTAAATGTAAGTTCTATGCTAACAGTTTCTTCCCCGGCACTCTCCCTCCCACCTCAGTAACTCTTTGTATCCTAGTGGCTTTCTTCATTTCCATTCTTAGCTGCCTTTTAATCTTTCACTCATGACTTTATATTCAGTCTTTCTAGGTCCTTCTTTTGGTTCTATTTCTTTTTATATATATATATATATATATATATATATATATATATAAAAATAAAGAGAGAGAATTTGGAAAACTATTTTAATATGTTTTGTTGATGAACTGAGTGAGTGAAGCTGGTGGGTCTTGACAAAGGCCATCCTTCTTTGAATCTTGTGGACTGGTGCTACAGAATCCCAAAGAACTGTACCTAATAACAGACACCACTTCACTTGAAGACTACCAGACATAGCAACAACTAAAATGGATAGCACATGATAATGACAAGGAAGATGTTGACATTCCACACTACTTCAACCAAAAGATTAGGAAGGAAAACCCCTATCAATAGTGGAAAGAACGATAACAGTTACTGGATTTGAGAAACCTATTTTCCTGAAAAATTGTTTTAATGGAAAGATTTTATAAATTTCAACCAAGGGCAATACTGTCTGATTGGTCAATGAATGCCAAATGTTTCCTTATAAGGAAACAGCTAACATTACCATAATCAGAAAAATAATTTTATTTCAACAAAATCAATGTTAGCAAGATGTAATGTGATTCAGATTAAGAATCTGAACTATTGATTTTTACTTTAACTCTATTGTTGTAGAAATTAGATGAAAATAAAAAT